TCTTCCAATTTGTATCCGATCAGGAAACAAAGTACCATTTAGTAATCAGGGAACTCAAAAGCTACTTTCCTTATTCAAAACATTGCCCTAATATCGTTTTTAAATTTTTCGAATTTTTTCCTAGGGGTACCCCTGCAAAATTGTGGGTTTTCGCGATTTTGACACTTTTTCTCCTTCCGATGGCCATTTCTCTTCCAATTTGTATCCGATCAGGAAACAAAGTACCATTTAGTAATCAGAGAACTCAAAAGCTACTTTCCTTATTCAAAACATTGCCCTAATATCGTTTTTAAATTTTTCGAATTTTTTCCTAGGGGTACCCCTGCAAAATTGTGGGTTTTCGCGATTTTGACACTTTTTCTCCTTCCGATGGCCATTTCTCTTCCAATTTGTATCCGATCAGGAAACAAAGTACCATTTAGTAATCAGGGCACTCAAAAGCTACTTTCCTTATTCAAAACATTGCCCTAATATCGTTTTTAAATTTTTCGAATTTTTTCCTAGGGGTACCCCTGCAAAATTGTGGGTTTTCGCGATTTTGACACTTTTTCTCCTTCCGATGGCCATTTCTCTTCCAATTTGTATCCGATCAGGAAACAAAGTACCATTTAGTAATCAGGGAACTCAAAAACTACTTTCCTCATTCAAAACATTGCGGAAATATCGTTTTTAAATTTTTCGAATTTTTTCCTAGGGGTACCCCTGCAAAATTGTGGGTTTTCGCGATTTTGACACTTTTTCTCCTTCCGATGGCCATTTCTCTTCCAATTTGTATCCGATCAGGAAACAAAGTACCATTTAGTAATCAGGGAACTCAAAACCCACTTTCCTCATTAAAAACATTGCCCTAATGTCGTTTTTAAATTTTTCGAATTTTTCCTAGGGGTACCCCTGCAAAATTGTGGGTTTTCGCGATTTTGACACTTTTTCTCCTTCCGATGGCCATTTCTCTTCCAATTTGTATCCCATCAGGAAACAAAGTACCATTTAGTAATCAGGGAACTCAAAGCTACTTTCCTCATTCAAAACATTGCGGAAATATCGTTTTTAAATTTTTCGAATTTTTTCCTAGGGGTACCCCTGCAAAATTGTGGGTTTTCGCGATTTTGACACTTTTTCTCCTTCCGATGGCCATTTCTCTTCCAATTTGTATCCGATCAGGAAACAAAGTACCATTTAGTAATCAGAGAACTCAAAAGCTACTTTCCTTATTCAAAACATTGCCCTAATATCGTTTTTAAATTTTTCGAATTTTTTCCTAGGGGTACCCCTGCAAAATTGTGGGTTTTCGCGATTTTGACACTTTTTCTCCTTCCGATGGCCAAGGCTCTTCCAATTTGTATCCGATCAGGAAACAAAGTACCATTTAGTAATCAGGGAACTCAAAAGCTACTTTCCTTATTCAAAACATTGCCCTAATATCGTTTTTAAATTTTTCGAATTTTTTCCTAGGGGTACCCCTGCAAAATTGTGGGTTTTCGCGATTTTGACACTTTTTCTCCTTCCGATGGCCATTTCTCTTCCAATTTGTATCCGATCAGGAAACAAAGTACCATTTAGTAATCAGGGAACTCAAAAGCTACTTTCCTTATTAAAAACATTGCCCTAATGTCGTTTTTAAAATTTTCGAATTTTTTCCTAGGGGTACCCCTGCAAAATTGTGGGTTTTCGCGATTTTGACACTTTTTCTCCTTCCGATGGCCATTTCTCTTCCAATTTGTATCCGATCAGGAAACAAAGTACCATTTAGTAATCAGGGAACTCAAAAGCTACTTTCCTCATTCAAAACATTGCGGAAATATCGTTTTTAAATTTTTCGAATTTTTTCCTAGGGGTACCCCTGCAAAATTGTGGGTTTTCGCGATTTTGACACTTTTTCTCCTTCCGATGGCCATTTCTCTTCCAATTTGTATCCGATCAGGAAACAAAGTACCATTTAGTAATCAGGGAACTCAAAAGCTACTTTCCTCATTCAAAACATTGCGGAAATATCGTTTTTAAATTTTTCGAATTTTTTCCTAGGGGTACCCCTGCAAAATTGTGGGTTTTCGCGATTTTGACACTTTTTCTCAGGGAACTCAAAAGCTACTTTCCTTATTCAAAACATTGCCCTAATATCGTTTTTAAATTTTTCGAATTTTTTCCTAGGGGTACCCCTGCAAAATTGTGGGTTTTCGCGATTTTGACACTTTTTCTCCTTCCGATGGCCATTTCTCTTCCAATTTGTATCCGATCAGGAAACAAAGTACCATTTAGTAATCAGGGCACTCAAAAGCTACTTTCCTCATTCAAAACATTGCGGAAATATCGTTTTTAAATTTTTCGAATTTTTTCCTAGGGGTACCCCTGCAAAATTGTGGGTTTTCGCGATTTTGACACTTATTCTCCTTCCGATGGCCATTTCTCTTCCAATTTGTATCCGATCAGGAAACAAAGTACCATTTAGTAATCAGGGAACTCAAAAACTACTTTCCTCATTCAAAACATTGCGGAAATATCGTTTTTAAATTTTTCGAATTTTTTCCTTGGGGTACCCCTGCAAAATTGTGGGTTTTCGCGATTTTGACACTTTTTCTCCTTCCGATGGCCATTTCTCTTCCAATTTGTATCCGATCAGGAAACAAAGTACCATTTAGTAATCAGGGAACTCAAAACCCACTTTCCTCATTAAAAACATTGCCCTAATGTCGTTTTTAAATTTTTCGAATTTTTCCTAGGGGTACCCCTGCAAAATTGTGGGTTTTCGCGATGTTGACACTTTTTCTCCTTCCGATGGCCATTTCTCTTCCAATTTGTATCCCATCAGGAAACAAAGTACCATTTAGTAATCAGGGAACTCAAAACTACTTTCCTCATTCAAAACATTGCGGAAATATCGTTTTTAAATTTTTCGAATTTTTTCCTAGGGGTACCCCTGCAAAATTGTGGGTTTTCGCGATTTTGACACTTTTTCTCCTTCCGATGGCCATTTCTCTTCCAATTTGTATCCGATCAGGAAACAAAGTACCATTTAGTAATCAGGGAACTCAAAACCCACTTTCCTCATTAAAAACATTGCCCTAATGTCGTTTTTAAATTTTTCGAATTTTCCTAGGGGTACCCCTGCAAAATTGTGGGTTTTCGCGATGTTGACACTTTTTCTCCTTCCGATGGCCATTTCTCTTCCAATTTGTATCCCATCAGGAAACAAAGTACCATTTAGTAATCAGGGAACTCAAAAGCTACTTTCCTCATTCAAAACATTGCGGAAATATCGTTTTTAAATTTTTCGAATTTTTCCTAGGGGTACCCCTGCAAAATTGTGGGTTTTCGCGATTTTGACACTTTTTCTCCTTCCGATGGCCATTTCTCTTCCAATTTGTATCCGATCAGGAAACAAAGTACCATTTAGTAATCAGAGAACTCAAAAGCTACTTTCCTTATTCAAAACATTGCCCTAATATCGTTTTTAAATTTTTCGAATTTTTCCTAGGGGTACCCCTGCAAAATTGTGGGTTTTCGCGATTTTGACACTTTTTCTCCTTCCGATGGCCATTTCTCTTCCAATTTGTATCCGATCAGGAAACAAAGTACCATTTAGTAATCAGGGAACTCAAAAGCTACTTTCCTTATTAAAAACATTGCCCTAATGTCGTTTTTAAAATTTTCGAATTTTTTCCTAGGGGTACCCCTGCAAAATTGTGGGTTTTCGCGATTTTGACACTTTTTCTCAGGGAACTCAAAAGCTACTTTCCTTATTCAAAACATTGCCCTAATATCGTTTTTAAATTTTTCGAATTTTTTCCTAGGGGTACCCCTGCAAAATTGTGGGTTTTCGCGATTTTGACACTTTTTCTCCTTCCGATGGCCATTTCTCTTCCAATTTGTATCCGATCAGGAAACAAAGTACCATTTAGTAATCAGGGAACTCAAAACCCACTTTCCTCATTAAAAACATTGCCCTAATGTCGTTTTTAAATTTTTCGAATTTTTCCTAGGGGTACCCCTGCAAAATTGTGGGTTTTCGCGATTTTGACACTTTTTCTCCTTCCGATGGCCATTTCTCTTCCAATTTGTATCCGATCAGGAAACAAAGTACCATTTAGTAATCAGGGAACTCAAAAGCTACTTTCCTCATTCAAAACATTGCGGAAATATCGTTTTTAAATTTTTCGAATTTTTTCCTAGGGGTACCCCTGCAAAATTGTGGGTTTTCGCGATTTTGACACTTTTTCTCCTTCCGATGGCCATTTCTCTTCCAATTTGTATCCGATCAGGAAACAAAGTACCATTTAGTAATCAGGGAACTCAAAACCCACTTTCCTCATTAAAAACATTGCCCTAATGTCGTTTTTAAATTTTTCGAATTTTTCCTAGGGGTACCCCTGCAAAATTGTGGGTTTTCGCGATTTTGACACTTTTTCTCCTTCCGATGGCCATTTCTCTTCCAATTTGTATCCGATCAGGAAACAAAGTACCATTTAGTAATCAGGGAACTCAAAACCCACTTTCCTCATTCAAAACATTGCGGAAATATCGTTTTTAAATTTTTCGAATTTTTTCCTAGGGGTACCCCTGCAAAATTGTGGGTTTTCGCGATTTTGACACTTTTTCTCCTTCCGATGGCCATTTCTCTTCCAATTTGTATCCGATCAGGAAACAAAGTACCATTTAGTAATCAGGGAACTCAAAACCCACTTTCCTCATTAAAAACATTGCCCTAATGTCGTTTTTAAATTTTTCGAATTTTTCCTAGGGGTACCCCTGCAAAATTGTGGGTTTTCGCGATTTTGACACTTTTTCTCCTTCCGATGGCCATTTCTCTTCCAATTTGTATCCGATCAGGAAACAAAGTACCATTTAGTAATCAGGGAACTCAAAAGCTACTTTCCTCATTCGAAACGAATTCGAAGGAATAGCGAGTACCTTAAATTTAAAAAAAAAGTCCATATTATATTTTTTGGGTATTTATTTTATTAATAAACATTTTAAAACTAAATCAATGACATTTTTCGTTGCAGGCTTTGGCGGCGTCTCTCCGCGCACCCAGTGGGGTCGTGTGGCCGCCCTGGTCTACGCCCTGTTTGGAATACCGATTGTCCTGCTCTATTTGTCCGCCATGGGCGAGGCGCTGTCGGCCGGAATGCGCTGCCTGTTCCGACGCCAAAAGGTCAAGGGCGGGCCGGGGGGCAGTGGCGGCGGTGTCGGCGGATCCGGAGGCGCCTCCGGCTCATCCAGCGGCATCAATGGCGGCAGCGGCGGTGGCGGCGGCGGAAGTGGACGGAAGCAGGACAAGGCAAAACAGGGACAAGGACATGGGCAGGGACACTACGGCCACCAGAAGTACATCTACCAACAGCAACAGGCGGCGGCGGCGCAGCAGCAGCAGGCGCAGGACAAAAAGTCGAACGAACGAAGGAATTCTCCCAGTGTACCCATCTCGATATGCGTGTGTGTGCTGCTGTGCTATGTGAGCAGTGGAGCGATCCTGTTTCACAAGCTGCAGAACTGGAGTGTCCTGGAGTCCTTGTACTTCTGCTTCACGTCGCTGGGCACCATTGGCTTTGGCGAACTGGCCCCCAAGGGTACCCTGGCTCTGTACACCGCCTCCGCCTACATCCTGGTGGGCATGGCCGTGGTGGCCATGTGCTTCAGCCTAATCCAGACCGAGATTGTCGTGTGGCTGCGTCGCTTCAGTGTCCAGGATCATGTGATGCCCAAGGCCGAGGAGGTGGCTCTCGTTTCCGTGACCGTCACGCCAAAGTCCTCCTGACAGCGACCCAGTGCGGATCCTGGAGCAGGACCGCTGGGCATGCAGCCCAATAGCTTGGCCCAACATCAGACCATGTTCTTTGGACCGGCCCACACGCTCACCCAGTACAGTTCCCTGCCCCGGCGCAGTCATCTGGCCGGATCCGGCCTGGGCATGGGCATGGGAATGGGCATGGGGGCTGGTGGCTTGAATGGCGGAGGTGGAGCCTTCCAGCGGAATACACCCATTCGTCGATCGACTGGCATACCGGAGCACCATCTCGAGTACTTTGTGCCGCGTAGCATCAGCGAGTTTAATCTCTCCGGAGTGGGGGATCTGGCCCTGCCGCCGCCACGACGATTCTCACCCAACATGGGTGGCGGAGCCACTGGTGGCGGCTACAACATGAACATGGGCGGCGGCGGTCTGGGCATGAATATGGGCATGAACATGGGCCTGGGCTTGCCGCACGGCCTCCAGCTGGGTCCGCCCCAGACGCTGCTCTGTTCGGCGGCTGCTCCGGGCCAGGCACAGGCCCAGGTACCACCACCGCCGCCCGCACAGCTCCAGATAATGACGCTGAAGCCGCGCAGCGAAAAGATGGTCACCTTCGAGGACGAATCCAAGCAGAACTCGGCCAGTGGCTCGGGCGCCACGGTGACACCCGTCTCTGTCACCTGTCCCCACGGTGTGCCGACCACGCCGCGGAAGTCGGGTGATATCTTCATGTGACCGGGAGCCGGCAACGGGGACGAGGCCGCCGATCTCAATGCGGCCATGCGATTGCGGGACAGCATCGATGATGCCCTTTGCCCGAAAACGGGCCCGGCGCCAGGTGAAGTGATACGTGTCTAAGTCATAAAATCTAAATGGAAATGATACTAAAGCCTACACTGTAAAAATATCTTGCACACAAATCTAATAACTTAATCTCAGCTGGAGGGTTTTTTTTTTGTCAGTAAGAGACTAAAAAGCAAATATGTATGTAGTTATTAATACTATTATGAATGTAAATAAGAATGACAGAAAAAATAATGTGAAAACCACAAAGAATAACAACTAAAGTTGAGTAAGTAAGAGCGTAAAAGCGAGTGAATTAAAATTAAAATTCGTAATGATAAATGCATAAATAATTGAAAGCATTTCGGCGGTCGTGAAACATGAATTCAGATATTCAGAAATTCACAAAATTAATAAATACAATGACAAACAAACAAACAAACATCTATACATCCATACTACAAGCACACACTGAACTATGAATAATAAATAGGGGGCGTGGCATTAAAGGCAGGGGCGTGGTTAGTGCAAACAAAATGCAAATGAAAATGACAAATTGTATAAACAGCAAAGGACAAAGTTTATTTAAGCGATTTGTTAGTTAGTTTCCCAATGTCATACTACATAGACACCCTCTTCATTTTTTTTTTTCTGTTGTTGTATAGCTACGCTTGAGGGTTTTAAATTGAAATTGTTTTTGATAGAATAATGCATAGCAGTTGCTAAACAATTTTTTTTTTTTTTTTTATAATCAAATAAGATAAATGTGAAACAATTTTTATAAAATATTGCTCAACTCTGTGTATGTTTCAAGCTCAAAATGTTAAGTGTATAAATGTATATGAATGTGCCAAAACAAAAGCCAAACAAAAATAATAATACAAACTAACCAAAAACAGAAAAATCTGAAAATAAAAATGAAAATATTTACCACAAAACCTAATAAACTAAGGCAGTACAGTAAGTAATTATTAATTTGTGAGCCATAGCTTCCACCGATCCAGTTGATATTCAAATTTTAAACAAATAAGCCAGTCTACCCAGAGTAATCAGAGCAAGATATCCAGAAGCAGAAAACCGAAAACCCGTCGTTTTAGAGCCTTCTCCCTGCTGGTTTTTGGCCCAAAACCCTCTCCGCCCTAGGCAATTAGGCTTAAATACTTTTTAAATGCATTTTGATTGTAGGTAATTGAGCGCGTGAATGGTCATTTTGTTTGTTGTTTGGCATTTGTTGTGTTTTATCCTATTTGTTGATTGTTATTTGTTGATTGTTTTTGTTTTTTTTTCCTGCTTTGCGACATTCGAAATTGGATGCCTGTCAAGCGAGCCGAGCTCATTTCAAGTATTTGCCATTATTTTTCCCTTTCGTCCCTGTAAACTTCATATGTTTTATCAACAAAATTTAACATATAAAAAACAAAATAAGATATATATATGTATAAATTCAATTTAACAACCGAACGCCCACAGAGTGGGCATGGTTTGTTAGTGGCATTTGTTAATTTTTGCCATATTCAATTTGTGGCATTCAATTAAAATAGTGAAATTAAACCAGATAGGATAGTCATTACTCGTAAAGACACTCACACGAAAATATATATGAATATATATGTACATGTGTATACAAAAAATACATGCAGGAGACATGGCTTTAAATATATGGGTTGTGGCCCTGCCAAAAAAAAAACCAGAAAAAAAAAAAAACCAAAAATAAAAAATAATGAGATCAGGCAGTAACTAATTGCAAAGCTACAACTTGTGTCATAGTCTAAGCCAATTCAGATATATGTCTATGTAGTTAATAACTAAAAAAAAACAAAAGCAAACTACCATGATTCTGGCAGGTCGTCGGTGCAGAAACAAAAGCGATAAAACAAATATTGAAATTAAGCCAATGTAATTAAATTAAGTCCACTTTAACACGCATTCAAAACCAAACACACACACACACACAGGCAGGACAAAAGGACACTGGAATAGGTCACAGGACACTGGACACTGAAATAACCGCAGACAAATTAATACCATCAAGTAAATGAGAGTAACTTAAATGTAATGATCTTTTTTTTTTTTGTCAAATTCCTAGCACGGTAAGTTGAACTTTTAGGCTAACAACCGCAGAGTTTAGGTATAAATTACTCTAATTCATGTACTCTTAGTCCACTAGATACAGATACTGATGCAGCATACATACATATATATAGACAGATACCGATACAGATTCAGATACATATGTAGCCGTACACAAAACGAAAACTAATCTAGCATTGGGACAGAAAAAAAATGGCAAATAAATATGTAAGAAATACCGCAGTTTGCATCATATAAATGTATACATACATCTCTATATATATAAATGGTATATATACAACACAAAAAAAAAGCCAAAAAAAAAAGAGAATAAATACATCATGAACAATTTAGTCAAAAATCAACAAGACCTTGTTTATTTTTCTCACTTTCCCGGCTGTAACATCTAGGTGTTCCAACATGTTCCATATGGCGAGAGTCTCAAAAAGGTAAACTTACTACCACTGCCATTGCCGCACTTTGATGTCCAAAAAGTTGCCTATTTGCGGAGTCCGTAATGGAAATTGTGGCAGCAAAAAAAAAAATAAAAGATTTAGGGTTAAGGGTCAAAAGAGTTGAGAATAATTGGCCAAATTAAATGAACATATTTAGGGGGGGAATGGTAAGTATGAAAGGTTAAGGATGGAAAGCACTTTTTCAGTAATTTAAAGATGGTTTTTGAAGAAAAGGTAAGTATCTTTAAAAGGATATCAATCTTTTAGGTCTAGATACCCGGTACTTCGCGGATAGCTCTCTGAGAAGTTTTAAGATATTTTTTCAAACTATTTCAAAATAAACCAAACAATATCCTGCTTATCCTGAACTTAAAACTCCTCGATTGACCTTTGATTTGTCGTTTGCTTGACAGTGTTCAAAATAAAGTTCATTATGTTCTCCAAAATGGAAAAAATCCTTTGCCCCGCAACAGATTCCGAAAATCATCAAAGAGAATCGATGAGGCAAAAATGAGTGCACTCATTGAAGCGGCAGGAAAGTGAGTGGAATGCGAATATCTTAAATTTAAATTAAATTTGCACAAAATCAATTTGTGCGTTAATTGATAAAGATAAAGATAAAAAACAACAACAACAACAAATTGCGAAACGAAATGAAAACAGAGCGATATCTGACCAATAAAAAAAATATCTCTACCTTCCGACCATGGCACAGCCTCTTTCCACATTTTTTTTGTTTTTGTTCGCTCCACACTCGCACTTGCACTCTGTTTGGTTTTTTTGAATTATTTAATCATTTAATTAGTGTTAATAATTTATAGCAAACAGCTTCGCAATCAATTTGCGTTTCTGTGTGTATATCTTTATATCCCATATCTCTCTCTCTCATCTGTGTGTGCATTTTATGACAACTCTGGAATGGAATTTCACTTAATCAAGAGTCGAACCGAATCGTACCGAACCGAACCGAATTGAGAACTCAGGTGTCCAGCATCCAGCTCAAATGGCATGCCAGATGGGTGTGTCCGAGTGTCCGAGTGTCCAGCTTTTTGCCACATCAATTTAATTTACTTCTGACAAATATTCCCATATCCTGCCAACGCATATCCTTCCGTCTTTGGCCACTGCCTGGCTGGGCAAAGAGACAGAAGTAGTGTTTGTTGAATCCATAGACGAAATGTCAAGTGGAAAAGCATTAGCCCATCAAATGATGTGTAATGTGCTCGAATGTTCTCCAAATTTATCAAGCCAATGCCCAAATGCACGAACAGTGCGTACCATTAAAGTAAATATGAATCATTTAAAGGTTCTAGAAAGGGTGTATGAAGCAACGAGTTGAGGTTGTACCTTGTAGAGCACAAACCTTATAAACAAAGTTATACTTATAATTGTGAAACTCACTGTATCGACACATTGGAATTGTTTGTTTTTAATGCTTTCACTACTAATACCTTTCAATGTTTGGCCGACGTCACTGAATTACCTCAATTTGCACAAATGGAATGACATTAAATTAAATTTTGTCATTCGGAAGGTGAAATCATGGATCAGTTTGCGAAATTGATGCAGTCCTTGATATCAAAATGGTTAGATCCTGTCCTATCTTTAGAGTACACACAATAGAGGGGGGGAATGGGTAATAAATTTCGCTTAAATGTTCTCCTTTGTTCGAGTCATTAAAATCGCATTTGGCAGAAAAGAAGGAACCCACTCATCTGACGATGATGTGACTCCAGCTCAGCTTCTGTTTTTCTCAAAAAAGATGATGATGATGATGATGATGATTGTGTCGCGGTCTACCGTCTCAGTCTCCATCTTTAGCTCAGCTTCAACATTAACGTTGACTGCTACGTTGTCAACACACTTGACATATAATTTGATTACGCATACGCATTTTATTAACTCATTTTCGCAGTCAGTCCGCTTCCTTCCTTCGTTCCAATGGCGATATGATATACTTACACACGCATATATACATACATGTATCTATATATGGATGTACTTCTCTTGGCCATTAACGGTAACGTTACGTTATGTCGGCTCTGCGGTTTTCAAGTGCCACGCCCGCGCCCTCAAGCCCTGCCTGCCCTACTCCATATACGGTATACGCTATATTCTGGTAGCATATTGTCTGCTCTCAATTATAAAAACAACAAGAAAACAACAAGAACAGCTTGCGGTATTAGCGATGACAAGGATACCATTATAGCTTGCGTGCTATAATCCCCATTCGGCCAAGTCCCATCGCTAGACAGCCTGCAGCAATAACTAATTTCTTTTTACAACTGTGGCAGTTCCTCAGCTTTATGGAAACACCACCACACCACACACATGCACCCACCCACCAACCCTCAACCACACCCTCAAGTGGCTCTGGTTGCTTAAATCTTTCAATATTCTCCACAAAAACCTTAAAGCTCAACCCCAAAAAATATATGCGTATAATCCCCAGAGATTCGAGCAGAAAAAGTATACAAAAATACAAACAAACTTTAAGGTGTTGGGAAGTAAGCAATTAAAGTATAACAACAGCTTAAATGGATATCACAACTTTTTTATTGTATTAAAATGGGTGTTTTTGGTTCACGAGAGAGAGAAAGAGAGGGGGGGAGGAGGGGCTGGAGATGTTTTTGAGAGATTTGCCAATTTATGGAAATTTCTGAAGAAATAAATAAAACAACTTAACTAGTTATTCTAGCCTTCAGGTAAGTAAATTGCCAACGGGTCGTATGAGTTATTATTACATTTGGCTACGGGTCGCATACGTAATTATTTTGTGACTAGTTGGCTTGTTAAGTATACGCCCGGTGGGCTATAGCCTTAAAACAGTTTAATTTAAAGAATGTTTAGAAGCTTTATTAAGAGTCTTATACTTTTAAAAGGATCGGAAATGCACAAAATTTCAGGATATCTTAGGTATTAGCGCAGTTTTTCAAATTATTCCCCACGAAAATCACAAAAAGTGAATCCATGTTTTGGTATTTTACTTATTTTTTTTTTGTTCAGATTTTGGTTTTTTTATTTTTCCAAAATCTGAACTTTTGATGCACATTTTAGCGAATATTTTAAATAATTCGTAACCGATTCCAAAACGGAATACCATTTATAAATCAGGACTTTAATATCCTTCGAATTGCATCCCAAGATTTCAAAAATCAAACAATAAAATTTCGACCCCATTTTCGCAATTTTTGACAGGGGTAACATCATGATTTTTTGCGAAAATTGGCCCAAATTTTTTTTGTTCGATTTCTAAAATATTTTGATGCAGATCGAAGGATATTCTTGTCCTGAGATCAAAATGGTATCGCTTTTAAAAATCCATTCAGAAATGACCAAGATATGAGCTTTGGAAAATCCGCCTTAGCGCCCATGACTCGGCGCCAATTGTTTGAAATTCGTATGGAACGAAATCTGAAGTACCAGGCGAACAGAAATCAGCAGAAGGTGGCCGAAGTCAAGCAGTGCAAGCAGTTTCACCTCCCCCCTCGCCCTAGCTTCGACAGAAAAATTACACAATTGTCCCTTAACCGGCCACATGGACTTCACATTCCCATGCTAGTTTCACAGGTCAAGCTTAATTGTTAGGACTATAAATAGTTGCCCCACCGTCTTCTTATTATGTTTCCTGCATTTTGTATACGTTTTACTTCACTTAATGATGTTTTTATAATCCTAAATTAACAGTTTTGTTGCTTAATTAAAATAAATATTTAATATATACAGGTAAAGACATGTGAAGGGTTAACTTTCGTATTTCGCAGAGAAACGGTACTATTGCCATGATGGCCAATCCCAGCCTCCCAATTTGGGATCCACAACGGTGATTTCCACCTAATGATGGCAAAACCAAAGTGGCACC